AAGGATGGTCAGGCTAAGACCTGGCATGGGGGTATGAAAACCCTAACCAGGAGACTAGGTCACATAGGCCCCGTTAGGCTCCCTGGCTGGGGACCTCGGGATGATGGTCACCGATGGTTAGAGACACTGAGTGATATGGCTGGGTGTCGCAAACAGTGGCGCTCGTGCATCCACTCGTTATTTTTCTAACTCCACTCTATATGTATTCCCCATCTTCCGCTTGAATTTGCTTCGACATTCCAATCTTCATTTCGCTATTTTATCCAAATGGGCAACCAAAACCCGCGCACGAAAGTGCATGGTTAATGGTTGTAAAACTGAAACTGAAAAAACAATATGACCTATCGGGGCCTTATGTGGTTCGCCACTCCAAGTTCCGGGGCCTAGGTTACTGGTTTCCATGACGGAACAGCAGGTCCTCGTGACTATGGGGCTCACCCCGTCTGCTGTTCATCACACGGAAGTGTGTAATAAAAAAAATACACGACCTTTCAACTTCAGTGAAAGGTCGAATCTACGCCAGAGGTTTCAGTCCTGCATATGCTGCTCGAGCCTTGGAAACACGGGCGGTTATCTCCTTTGCTGCGCTATCGTCATTGGTCACAGCTACCTAAGTAGCAAAAGCAATCCCTCGTAACTAATTCCATTTGGTTTAAGAGCGGTCGTAGGCGATACCCAGTCCTGCAGCATTACTTTGCACTTTGAAGGTGCAAAGCAGATACCGAATGTGGCAACCGCACTTATTAATCTATCAACTGCACTTTGCACGTCCTCCATAGATTCAAACAGACGACGTCATTGGTGTACTCTAATTCACACCTTTTCTCCAGCTGCCCATTCAATACCTACGTTTTGGAGACCACTTAGTGCGTTTTCCAGTATTTCGTTAACGAGGAAGTTAAACAGGAACGGCAAGAGAGGGCACCTTTGACGAACGCCGCTGCTGGTGACGAATTGTCTACTTAGTTCAGCATAGACCCTTACACGACCAGAGGTATGCGAGTACAGTGACCTCAGTAAATTAACGTACTTCTGGGGCATTCCTTTTCGAAGAAAGGAGCCCATCAGAACTTCGCGATCAACTGAGTCGAACGCTCCTTTCAGGTCAAGAAACACTGCGATCGTTGGTCGGCGTGGGTGTGATGCAGCTCAAGGACCTGCCGCAACGTAAAAATTTGATCAATAAATCCACACCCAGGCCGGAATCCGGCTTGCTGTTCGCGGATGTTGATCCCTGTTAGAGGAGTCAGACGTCGAAGTATGACC